CCATTAGTCCACCCCATAGGGACAACCATCATCTGTATTAGTCCCAATGGCGTATGCATAGCCGTGAGGTGTCTATCCCTAGGGTCAAGCGGTACCTCATCATAGCCTGAGAACAGATCACAGACTGAATAGATCGACCTACCTGTTGCGCCTTCTGCCAGTAAATCAGCGTGTGGCACGGAGCCCACGTCTCGTATCGTCACCGCGTTGACCTTCTGAAGGTCCTGGATCCATCGAATCTTGCCATTCGGCTTCCGTACGAAGAACCATCGATTAGCATAAGCGCTCTCAGACGGCTCCGCAACGTGGGAAATCATCTTTTCTTTCAGGAAAGCGATAACTTCTTCCTTCTCCTTCTGGGCGTATTTCCATCCCGCGTCATTCCAAGGAACATGTGGAATCGTATAAATCCTCGTTGGCTTAGCGTATCGAGGGTCAATCCTACCGCGCTCCGCGTCGCTGAAAGTTATGGCCTTATCACAGGTCTTGAGAATTTCTATCACACGTTCTCGCTCCTGTGGGGTCAGATTTCCATCTCCGATGTCCATCCCTGCTATTCTCTCTTCCGTTAGGCATTGTGGCTCCTTTTTCTTTCTTTCTTTGATTTGTTTCGCGATCTCTTCTTCTGATACCCCTTCCAGTGCCGATCGCTCGCGGCCCACCGCCGCTGGCTTAACCTTTTGAGCTGCTCGTTTGTGTCGCTTGGGTAGCCCCCCATAGGGGGCCGTGCCCTTAAAAAAGACACGGATACCACACCGCCAAATTCCTCATCTTTTTCCTTTGGGTACGAGTTGTCGTCCACTATTAGCTGGCTTCCTAAATCTTCCACCTCCACGATCCGACCTTCTTCCTCTATGAGCAGTGGACCATATCTCTTCTCGCGAAATCGCACCGCGCGGCCGGAGATAGGCAACGACTTAATCTGATCACGGGGTTTCGCACCCACAGCGAGAGCTGCCCTGTTCCTCGGGTCCCGAGGCTCCACTGTCTCAATCATTACCCGCGTCCCGTCTGGCTTCTTAATGGACAATGTTTGGCTCCCATCTGGTCGCTCTATCGTCACCGCATGCACGTGGCTCAGCCACGTTCGACCCAAGAGCAGGTCGGAGTTGCAGTTCTTGACTGCAAAGACTGGCAGGGTCACTCGTACCCCTTGGACTTCTATGGCTGCTTTGTGATAAACCCCAGTGATCTGTTGCTTTCTCCCATCGACCGTCTCTATCTCGAATAGGTATGACCTATCGAGGCCCAGTCCAAGTTGTACCGCCAGGTCCTCATCTATGATGACAGCCTCACTGCCGTTATCAATCACAGCATCGAGTACTGCCCCATCGTTTATAATCGTTTCCACGGCCCCGCTACCAAGTATATAAAACTTGTCTGGAGGCACACCTTCCATTCCATCGAGAAGGATTGTCGCCGTACGATCCGCTTTGGCAGTCACCCCCGTTACTGCTACTGTAGAAGCTTCCGCCTTAGGGGCCCCCTGCCCCTCCTCTGATAGAGGTATGCGAGTCTTCCGCGTGATCATCTGTAACTCATCACGAGTTGGCTTCGATGCCGCCAGGTATTCCAGAATAGAGCACTGCATGGGTTGCCGAACGGCCCGCCTCAGTGGCTCGACCGTGTCAATCTCGTCCAGCGAACTCTTCATTAAGAACTTCTTCACTCTCCGCTTTCGCGGCGAAAGGATAACCTCCTCTCCATCGACCCGCTGCCCGTCCTTCTCCGCCATCACGTAATCCGTATCAGTTTTCTTCGATGTAGATCCTCTCGCCGACTTGGTGGCTGCCACCCTTATGGGTGTGGTCGTCATGTCCCCTTCAAAGGTTATCTTGATGCTCTGACTCCTGACCGGCTCCATTCCTTTATTCGTCTTTATTCTCCTTGCTTCGACATTCTCCTTCATCGAATGGAACATCGATACATCTCCGAGATCATCTGCCTACTTGACGTACTTGCGGTCGTCAAGCACGACAAGTCTCTCTTCTATTGCCCGTTTGAGGTCCGGGCAATCCCTCTTGATATGATCCTCTCCTCCACAGTAGACGCATGAGTTCCTGGGAGTAGTCGTCCTGTCGTCTGCGCCTCTAGACATCGAATTCCTGGCCGCCTTGGGATCAGGCGACTTTGGATATGGTTCTGATGAGACACCATATCCCCCTCTCTCATTTGGACTGCGTGAATCGTTGCGCCGGTCTCCTCCAGACCCTCCTAGCTCATACTGCCCTCGCGAGTCATTCCGGCGGTCCCCCGAGTCATAGCGTCCTCGTGACTCATCGCGTCGGTCCCCTCGGTTGTACCATCCTCGCGTCTCGTCGCGCTGCTCTCTCGCTTCTCCCCCGCGCTCAAACCGTTCACGTGACCCATCTTGTTGTTCCCAGTCCCGATCTCCTCTCTAATATCTACTTCCTCTGTAGCCATCTCGATCCGACCTCTCGTATCTGTCGTCCCTATATCCATCCCGGTCCGATCTCTCGTATCTGCCGTCCCTCTCCCATCGGCCGCGGGAGTCACCTCTACCCCGATCGGCCTCATAGCGAGGGCTTCAGGGGTAATCATCTAGCCTCCTTGCTCGCACAAACAGCTCGCGATCTCTGTGGTTTTGGTCTATCTCATCGTCCCTACGTCGCCATAATTCATCGTCTCCCTCCCTCCCCCTCGTACGATAATCAATCAGCGTCCGAGGATTTTTATCCTCGACACTCCTCCAGGGATCGTTRTTCCTACGGTCCCAGCGAAGTGAATAGGGCCCTCCAGGTTTGTCCCGGTAGGCCGTGACCCCTGTGGCGGTCACAATCTCTGTAACCTGTCTGGTTAATCCCTTCACCATGTCCCGTATCTCCTTCACTTCCTCAGCCACGGCCTCATTCTTCTCCGACCAGGGATAATCCTTGAAATCAGGACATCTATCAGTGAC